ACAGTTTATTAACTTTTTTGCACTTCCATTAGAATAGGTTGTAAAAAGACAAGGAATGCCACATTTTTTTCCATCACTGTACATTCCATATAGTATTTCAGCTGTGTAGCACTTTTCACTATGTCTTGTTATTTCAAAGTGTGTCTGCAACTCCAACCATTGGTTCACAATTCTTTCAACTATTGGTTGAATTGATAACCATCTAGTTTTGTAATCTGACAGAATTTTCAGTGGTGTGGAACCATCCTTCAAGGCTGTATATAATGTGTTGTATTGCTGTTGTCTGACAAATTATTTGGAAAACCAATGTTTTAGGAATAAGGTATTCCAAATTCCTTGGTAAACATTCAGATGAAGCATGTGATAATGCTAGCTGCAATGAATGACACATACATTTTAAAAGTATTAACGATGGGATAGCTTCCTTCAACTTGGCATAAACGCCATTGTTTATACCATCCATCAACCAGGCATTATCGACACCAAATGCAGCCAAATTCTTCAAGTCTAACTGTTTGCTGATTAAAAGTTTTTTCAGTTCCTGAACTATACTTTCTGACTCACACTTTTCCAATTGAACTAGTCTAGGATTTGCAGAAACTACTTTGTCTGTATTGTTGCTGTAATATATAAAACACACACCAAGCACTTTCAGTATCGAAATATCATTTGATTCGTCTAATAATAAAATATATTTATTTGTAGAAATATCATTATTCAAATATTTATCGAAGTGAGAAAATACAGTATTTATTATAATATGTGTACACTTGCTGCGATGCATTTTCACATCATCCATAACTTTATTGTCAGAAAAAAGTGCTTTTAAACAAATCAATCAAATGGTCACAGTTTGAAATTGCACAGTGACAACTTTAAAACATTGCGACTGACCCTTCAACTTTTAATGATTCATTTATTAGTGTAGTTCTGAAAACAGATGTCAGCGGTGTAATATCTTTGATTGGAACTGCAGTTTTATGCATTTTAGTCTCTCCTTGACTCTTTAAGTCCTAAATTTTCGCTTTAATTTCACACTTGCAGTACTTAAAATAAGCCTTGGATATATCCACAGGAACTGCCATCACCCAGTCTTTAATTTCGTCATCAAGCAACCACTCTTTCCGAAATTTTTGAACATACTTTACTTTTGGCATGCTGAAGGGCTTTTTAAAAGTGAAAGCCACATATGAAGGTGAGCAATTATTTTTTAAAAATCCATGAAAAAGAAACACAAAGTCAGAACTGTGAGGATACGGTTGAAACAAAGTTAGTATGATTTACACCCGCTTTTAATTAATCAGTACCGGGGATGCCAGATATTTGAGCGTTGACCTTAGTAAGAGTTCAAAGTTTAAGTAATCGCAATAGTCACAATGTGTGTGCGAGACCAAAACAAAAATATTGTAGTAAATATTTTAACCAGTAATTATGAAACTAAAACGGAGAGAAAAAAAAAATCTACAAAATATCTAACTCCAAATGAAAGACATCTAGACATAATCTACCAACTAAACTTTTTGTTTTTTGTTTGTTTCCAGACGCCATGAGTTGTTAACCCTTAGGCTCGTTATTATGGATATCGCAACCCTTCGGCCTTGATTCCATGATAAATACCGTAAATCTGGGAGAAATGTGGCTTTTCTGCCAATCCCCGGGCGTTAACCAGGACCACAAGTAGTTCGTCCCCCTGTCACCGGACAATCCCGTTTAGCCAACTACGCTAGCAAGCCGGACGACAAATAAACTTCAAAAACACCATCTGAATTCAAAGAAAAACATCTAAATCTAGATGTAAAACATCCAAAAAGAAGCCCGGCTGGCAATTGGCTAAACACGCGGTAGGGCGGGTTCAATCCCGGGGGGGCCAAACTTTGTATAACTGCCGATGGATATCCATAATACCGAGTCTAGGGCGGGAGGATACTTAAACAAACAAACAAATTACCAAAGAAATCCAGAAGGGACACCACTAGGGGGTTGCTGAGAGGTGGACTATTGTCAGACTACACCAAGCAGCTGCAGCCAGTAATCATGCAGCAAGTAACCAGTTTTTAACCTATTGGCGCCAGTACAATAATCCATGAACATAACTAACGATTCTTTGGAGCTGGCTTCGGCCAAAAGTTCCTCAGCAGCTGTTTTTTTTTTTTTTTTTTTTTTTTTTGTGGGTTTTTTTAATTTATATTTTAAAAAGAAGAAGAAGAGGAAAAAGAAGCAGAAGAAAAAGCAGAAGAAAAAGCAGAGAAAGAAGCAGAAGAAGCAGAGGAAGAAGCTGAGGAAGAGGCAGATGACGAGGAAGACGAAGACAGAGGTGAAGAAGAAACGCAGATGGTATGACGTTGACCTCATTTTTGACAGACTGGCACTGTATGCCTGGTGCGCGAAAGGTGTCAAGGAGGGCCTTTACTGCATTCTTCTCTTTCCTCGATTCAGTACATATTTTGATTATGGTCAACACCACTTCGTCGGCGTCTGGGGCTTAGGCATTGCGAAAGCGCTTCGTAATCCCAGGGTGCCAGGCTCGATTCCAGCTACGGGCGGGGTTTGTCTTGCGTTGGTTTTGACAGTCGTACAGAAGCCTGACCTTTCAAAAAGTAATTGCAAACTAATGAACGTAAAATGTGCCTAAAAAAACCCACAACAGCCGAAAATGCTAGGGTGTGTTCTGCAACGTCCTGTAAAAGATACGCCACTAAAGCAACACCACTTTAACACCGTACATATGTGGGCCAAGCTGCCTTCTGGACACGTATTGTAAAGTTGTTAATATATAAGTACACAGGCCCACTCCCTGTCGGGAACGAAACCAAATTACACAATAAGAAAGTACAACGGAAAACTACCTCCTTGCAAACCAACACCGACATGTTACAAGAATTCAAAAGACAAGAAGAATCACCATCAAATAAAACTCCTTTGACAACAAGACACAGTAGAGCCACAAGAAACCTAATGAGAACAAATACTTCACAATATTTCTTCTTCTTCTTCTCTTTCACCTTGTACCACATCGAAGTGTCGTAGGAGATGTCCTGTTCGTTGATGAGCTTTTGTCACGAGCACTAATGAGATTGGTGTTTATTTCTGTAAGGTTGTTCTTAATACTATCACTCAATAATTTCCGAGGTCTTCCATTCGCTCTTGTAACGTTTTAGTGTGGCTCGCTGTGGCGGATAGTACCAGGGCATTCTTGTTAAGTGTCCAAACCACTTCATTTGTTGTTTTTTGATGACCTGTGAGACTGGCTTTATTCCTAACATTCGGCTGATTTCGTATTTGTCCTTCTTAAAACTCCTGCAGCTCTTCAAAAGTATTTCATCTCTGTTGTCACAATTTTAAATTCGTTAGAGGATGTAAGTGTCTGAGTTGGGCACTGATAGCATAGTGTTGGCGAAAAAAATAGTTCTGGTGAAGATTCACTTTAGTACTCGGGAGTATCTGCTTGTGTGTCAACAGTTGAGATAGTTGGCCCATTAATTGATTGGTTTTGATACATCTCTATCTTAAAGATCGCAGTTATAAGCAAATGCTCAGATGAACTGAAATCCTTGAATGTGGCTGAATTATTCTTTCTAATTTTCAACAAACCTGGACCTAGACACGCTACACTACAGAGCACGGTGTAGGGATGGAAAGACGGACTGCGAAAAGTGAAGTGTCATGGAAACTAGTCTGAATTCATCAACGCCGTCGCTGCAAGAAAGAGGAGAAAAAGATAACGAAGGTGTCAGAAGAAGAGGAGGATGAGAGGGTTCAGTAAAAGAACAAGGAGACGGACGATAATGTAGGCGATGGGCAAAAATGATGAAGAAGGGATTGAGGACAACGGGGAAGGTCATCATCATCATGTAGCAGGTTCTTTGCAGAACGTCGCTCTCATCACGGTCAGCCTGAAAGAAACTCGGTCTCTCGCCAGTTCTCCCGCCTCACGCACTTTCATACTCAAGGCGTCACTTATATTCTGTGCCTATCTTCATGTTGGTCTGCCCCTGCCCCTCTTTCCTGGTACTATGCCTTCTGATTTAATTTTTTTTTCAATCCGTCGTAGCGCTTGATATGGCCAAAATATTTCAGCTTCCGAGACAGGATGCGGGGAAGGCAGGAAAGTTAAGAAAGACAGAAAGAAAGAAAGAAAGAAAGAAGAAAGAAAGAAGGAAAGAAAGAAAGAAATAAAGAAGAAAGAAAGAAAAGAAAGAAAGAAAGAAAGAAAAGAAAGAAAGAAAGAAAGAAAGAAAGAAAGAAAGAAAAAGAAAGAAAAGAAAGAAAGAAAGAAAGAAAAGAAAGAAAAGAAAGAAAGAAAGAAAGAAAGAAAAGAAAGAAGAAAAGAAAGAAAGAAAGAAAGAAAGAAAGAAAAAAGAAGAAAGAAAGAAAGAAAGAAAGAAGAAAGAAAGAAAGAAAGAAGGAAAGAAATAAAGACAAAAAGAAACAAGAAGAATCACGAGGTCGAGAAGGAGTAGATTGCAAGACAAATTAAGGAGGAAGTTGCCGTCTTCACAATCAAAGTTGGCAGCAATGGATCTCCAACACTCTTTGTGTCTTGTCTTAGTTGTATACTCTCTCAAACCGCCGTTCCTCCATCTCCTGATAATCTAGCCACTTATATCGTTGTCTACCTCTTGCTCTCTTGTCATCGACCTTTCCCTCCAGTATGGTTTATAAAAGCGTATTATGTCTTTCAATGTGGCCTAAATATATAATTTTTTGTTTTATTTCTTTCAGTGATTCTCTTTTTGTTCACAGTCCTTCCAGAACCTCTGTATTTTATTATTTTTGTTCATTCATTAAAGCCTAAAAATGTAAAGCTGACGAGCATGCATTTTACTGTATATATATATTTTTTTTACATCAACAGATGCAAGCTTTTATGGTAAAGTCTTCGTTCGGATAGCCGATGTGCTTCATATCGACTGTGAAGTTAACGATGACAAAGAAACCAGTGATTCACCGGTAAAAGCCTATGCAGTAGAAGAAAAGCCATTTCGCCAAGTGATGAGGCAATGAAGCGTATAACAGAATCTGTGAGCCTTATTCTGACCTTTCTGGCATTGACTGTAACCATTTTCTGTTACCAAGGATACAGTCAACAATATGGTCAAGTGGAGTTCCGTATCAAGGAGCAGATGCCATCCGGAACTAACGTAGGCAACATTCGAGACAAGGCGAGAATAGCGGACAAAGTGCCTAAGAATGAGCTGTCTAGTCTTAGTTTTAAGTTTCTGAACCCAAATAACTTGCTGCAGACAGCATCTTTATTCAGTATCAACAGCGATAATGGAGCTATATACACAACAGCAATGATTGACCGAGAAAGCATCTGTCAGTTCCAGAAGAACTGCAATGTAGAGTTCGAAGTCACAGTCACATCGACCATCTCCAAGTTCTTTGAGATCGTCAGCGTCCGGATTGTTATCGAAGACATCAATGACAACGCTCCGCGGTTTCAAAACGAAGAAGTAACTTTGCATATCTCAGAGTCCGTTAATGTTAACAGTGAGTTCAGAATTGCTGGGGCAACCGACAAAGACAACGACGACGAGAATTCTGTACGTAAATATGAAATGAAATCTGAGTACAACGATATGTTTGAGCTGAAATCTGAAATGAAGTTAGACTGGACATGGGATTTGTCTATTGTGGTTCTGAAGCCGTTGGATAGAGAGACGAAAGATCATTATGTACTGTGTATCATAGCCAAAGACAACGGAAATCCGCCTAGATCAGGGAATGTTACGGTACACATCAATGTTACAGATACAAATGACAACCCTCCTGTATTTACAGAAAACACATACGAAGTATCTGTGTCAGAACAAGCTGAGGTAAGTACTATTTATTTTACAGCGTTTTGTATTCACAGATCCTTGCAAAACAGCTTGATGATATTTCTCTTCTGTCCCATTCATAGGATCCGATGCAAGACAAACTGAATATACTTTGATGCTGATCACAACAAATTGGTCTGAATTCCATAAGGAAAAGACAAAGATAATGAGAATAAATCAGGCAAATAGTAATAATGGTTTCTTTTAAAGGTATCCAACTTCAAGACGTGGAGTCCAACACCTGTTTGGGTAGTAATTTTGATAAAGATGGGGGAACTGACAGAGATATTAAAACATAAATACTTAAGACAAGAGGAGCTTTCATGACACTATGGAAATTTGCGGAGGTCAAAAGAAATTAAAACTAGTACTAAACTTACAATCCTTAATGTTGCAGCTAACGAAAGCTCTCAGCATTACTCATTAACTTTCTACCCGATCGAATCTTTATTATGTCATGAAAAAAAGTAAAGATTCCCTTTTCACGCCATTAGGCGCATCGAGTATATGGGAAAAGCGCTCATATTTTTTTTCCAGATCATCGGCACTAGGTGGGTAATGTGGTCAGCATTAAGCCGGCCGTCTTTACTTCCCCAGGACAGCCATCCTGATACCCATTTTAGGCTGGGTCCACCTACGACGGACGCCTCATACCACGATAAAAATCCACTCAACCAGCAGTGGGTTTTGATCATTATGTCATGGATGGAATCCTCATATTTGCCTACTCTTACCAAAATTCACCTTAAGGTTTCTCTGGTTGACAGGATACTTGGTAACTGGCAGCGTTTGCCACTAGGATCATTATCATCACAAACCACTTCTGCCAATAAGAGCCCAGGAAAGGAATAATTTGTGATTCAGTGCTCGTTGGCTGGCAGCAGCCGTAGGCATACAGTAAAGGCACATGTGTCTTTCATGTTGTCGATCCATCCTCTTGCTCTTAGAGCTGATCTTCTGAGATCTAGTGCGTGTGATGGTATTTGAAGTTGCTGCATATCTAATAAGATGGCCAAGCCTTCTGATCTGCTCTTTCTCGGTGAATCTAGTTCAAGGTGTCTTTCCCACAATCTGTCCGAAAGTATCTCGGATGGTCAGGTTGGAGGCTTTTCTCGGGCATTTCATCCTGCAGGTAATGATTTTGCATACAAGGGCTAAGGCATTGTCCATTTTAAAGAAGATATCAGGAAATAATACAACACAAGCTATACATTCCACTTTACAATCACCTGCCTTCACTGGACTACAGATTATCTGTCCAGTGTAACTGTTGCAGCCGCCGTGGTTAAGCGGCTAGAAGCTCGCCTCCAAATCGGAAGCTCGTAGGGACGCTGCGTTGGCAGGTTTTTAAAGTTACAAAACCGTATGTTATTTTAGTCAGGAAAACCAGTCTTTTTTATTCTTTAAAATCTCAAAAGCTCATTCACACACACACACACACACACACACACACACACGCATGCATGCACACACGCCCACCACTCACACCCACACACACACACAATCCAGTTTCAGAGGGGTCCATACATTTATTCTTATGAAACACTTTGAAAGCTTTTCCTTTGTACCGCATAGAACACGTGAATGCTAAAGATATAGCCACTGCGTATTATCTACACACAACAGCATTGTAGTTGACCGTAATGGACGATGGTTACATAAATAATAAACTGTGTGATGTTCAGGGATGATGAAAGTATATTTGTAAATAGGTCTTTTCAGTGTAAATGACATTGAAATACTAGCCGGACAAAAACCTATCGAATCTAGCATATGTCGGTCTCTAGATTGCATTTATTTTTATGTACATAATAGAATAAAGCAGTCTGTGTGTGTGTGTGTGTGTGTGTGTGTGTGTGTGTGTGTGTGTGTATGTGTATGTGTACACATGTTTGCATGTGCTTGTGTATGTATTAACTTGGCGTCTCCCTCTTTTTATATGTCTCTTTATGATAAGATAAATGTCTGAGTAGTCTAGTGGCGAGGTGTGCAAGTAACGGTTGCAATTGCTGCTTACATTTTTCATTGCCAAAGAAAAATAATGTTTTACTCTTTATTAACACTATTTAGTATATATTACAAATACACCACTCGACAAAAACGAAAAGAATGTTTGCTGCATGCTTACGGAACTCGTGCAAAAACAGTAACCTACGAAAGTTACCAGTTACAATACTAGCTGCTCGTGCATACTCTAAACAGTGAAACGACTAGGATGAAAAAAATCACGTGCTACCCAACTTCATTGTAATCATTATCTGCTAAAGCTTGCTTAAACATGCGAACTGATAATGTCTCGTAGCATCAACTGTTAACAGACAAAGAAGATGTTATATTGGACACATCCAGGGAAAAACGAGCCAGAAAAAAAAAAAAATGGCTGATAAAGCTAGAGTAAGAAAAATCCTGAGCGCTTTATTAATATCCAACCCCAGATGACGTCACAGGACAGTCTAACATTTTAGACGGTTGTAAGACTGGATTTACCGGCTTTCTGGAGCTTTTAGCGACCCTAAAACATCCCGAACTGGCCCTAACCCCAACCCATCTACGTCCCACGAAAGAGTGCAGCCTAGGTGCCCCGACTGCATGCAGCCTAGGTGCCCCGACTGCATGCAGCCTATCTGCCACCCCCTGAAATATTAAAATGCCCCGTGACCTGCAGATTCCTCCTGTTTGGGGCAGGATATTAATAAAACACCAATTCCTAGGAGAAAAACAGTTTATAAGAGAGGTCAAAACTGTCTGACTGGATTATACACGTGATATCAAAGGTATTTCACAGGATAGAACGAAATGTGAGGATATACTGCTGGCCTTTCGTGATATATAATGGCTCAAAACCACAATGATGATTATAATCTCTCTCTCTCTCTCTCTCTCTCTCTCTCTCTCTCTCTCTCTCTCTCTCTCTCTCTCTCTCTCTCTCTCTCTCTCTGCCTCTCTCTCCTTCCACTACATCCAATCACCCAGATCCATAACACTTTACTTAGAATTAAAAACAAACCAAAAACCGTGGTGAAATATTTCACAACTCTTATTTTCACGCTTGTTTCTGGATCTGTAATCCCAGGTGGGCGCTGTTGTGGGGCAGGTAAAGGCCCTAGATGCCGACATCAACATGAACGGCGAAGTCACGTACAAGTTCAGTCCGACCAGAAGCTCTCAGATAGAAGACCTGTTCTACATTGACACGCTGAGTGGGGAGGTCAAGGTCAAGAATCCGCTCCAGTACGAGGCTGGAAAGAGTTTTGAGACTATAGTTGTGGCTAGCGACAGGGGGAATCCCCCAAGGGTAGGTAATTCTATCTATCTATCTATCTATCTATCTATCTATCTATCTATCTATCTATCTATCTATCTATCTATCTATCTATCTATCTATCTATCTATCTATCTATCTATCTATCTATCTATCTATCTATCTATCTATCTATCTATCTATCTGTCTGTCTGTCTGTCTGTCTGTCTGTCTGTCTGTCTGTCTGTCTGTCTGTCTGTCTGTCTGTCTGTCTGTCTGTCTGTCTGTCTGTCTGTCTGTCTGTCTGTCTGTCTGTCGGTCGGTCGGTCGGTCGGTCGGTCGGTCGGTCGTCGGTCGGTCGGTCGGTCGGTCGGTCGGTCGGTCGGTCGGTCGGTCGGTCGGTCGGTCGGTCGGTCGGTCGGTCGGTCGGTCGGTCGGTCGGTCGGTCGGTCGGTCGGTCGGTCGGTCGGTCGGTCGGTCGGTCGGTCGGTCGGTCGGTCGGTCGGTCGGTCGGTCGGTCGGTCGGTCGGTCGGTCGGTCGGTCGGTCGGTCGGTCGGTCGGTCGGTCGGTCGGTCGGTCGGTCGGTCGGTCGGTCGGTCGGTCGGTCGATCGATCGATCGATCGATCGATCGATCTATCTATCGATCTATCTATCTATCTATCTATCTATCTATCTATCTATCTATCTATCTATCTATCTATCTATCTATCTATCTATCTATCTATCTATCTATCTATCTATCTATCTATCTATCTATCTATCTATCTATCTATCTATCTATCTATCTATCTATCTATCTATCTATCTATCTATCTATCTATCTATCTATCTATCTATCTATCTATCTATCTATCGATCGATCGATCGATCGATCGATCGATCGATCGATCGATCGATCGATCGATCGATCGATCTATCTATCGATCTATCGATCGATCGATCGATCGATCTATCGATCTATCGATCGATCTATCGATCGATCTATCGATCGATCTATCTATCTATCTATCTATCGATCTATCTATCTATCTATCTATCTATCTATCTATCTATCTATCTATCTATCTATCTATCTATCTATCTATCTATCTATCTATCTATCTATCTATCGATCTATCTATTTATCTATCTATTTATCTATCTATCTATCTATCTATCTATCTATCTATCTATCTATCTATCTATCTATCTATCTATCTATCTATCTATCTATCTATCTATCTATCTATCTATCTATCTATCTATCTATCTATCTATCTATCTATCTATCTATCTATCTATCTATCTATCTATCTATCTATCTATCTATCTATCTATCTATCTATCTATCTATCTATCTATCTATCTATCTATCTATCTAATCTAATCTAATCTAATCTAATGGGCAGGCGGGCGGTCGGTCGGTCAGTCGGTCTGTCTGTCTGTCTGTCTGTCTGTCTGTCTGTCTGTCTGTCTGTCTGTCTGTCTGTCTGTCTGTCTGTCTGTCTGTCTGTCTGTCTGTCTGTCTGTCTGTCTGTCTGTCTGTCCGTCCATCAACCCACCAATTAAAGAGAGCTTGTGGTAGAAAGACGAGTATATAAAAAAGAATCCTCATTTGTCATCATCATCGCCCTGTTGTGTTATTATATGATATATAATTGTATTCCTTTATTACGTTGGTAGACGACTTCGTCGCCAGTCGGGACAGTATTTGGATCTATCTCCTTTGGTCTCATCAACACTGCAGGAGTCGTGCAATGCAAGCCATTTTGTATGGCGCAAAACCCTAGTCACAATTATAACCAGACAGACTTGTGTTAGAAGAAAAACGAAGCACTTATGTGTTGATAGCCGTGTGGCCTGATGTTTATCCGTTGTTCAAACCTCAAACCTCAGACCCCAAACCTTATGTTGTCAACGCTCAAGTCTAACAGCCCTAAAAGCTGCATCTACGGACAAATAAGCTGCCTGTTTGATCTTCCTTTACAATCAGCATCGGATTAGAATGTTGCCTATTGTGTTTCCCTGTATGCCTCCTTGTGATCTCTTTATATGTTTCTTAACGTAGTTACTGGAACCTTGGAGCGAAATTCCGCATTGATCTAAATAGCAGCAGCCTCTTTACGACAATGCTAGGTTTAGGTTCTGGCTGGGTGGGTATTTTTAATCACTCTTCTCTGAACAGTCTCTGTAGACATTCTTGGTTCGGGTGCTCCAGAGAAGTCCTTTTCTTTCTTTCTTTCTTTCTTTCTTTCTTTCTTTCTTTCTTTCTTTCTTTCTTTCTTTCTTTCTTTCTTTCTTTCTTTCTTTCTTTCTTTCTTTCTTTCTTTCTTTCTTTCTTTCTTTCTTTCTTTCTTTCTTTCTTTCTTTCTTTCTTTCTTTCTTTCTTTCTTTCTTTCTTTCTTTCTTTCTTTCTTTCTTTCTTTCCCACGACTGCATGCAGCCTAGGTGCATTTCTTTCTTTCTTTCTTTCTTTCTTTCTTTCTTTCTTTCTTTCTTTCTTTCTTTCTTTCTTTCTTTCTTTCTTTCTTTCTTTCTTTCTTTCTTTCTTTCTTTCTTTCTTTCTTTCTTTCTTTCTTTCTTTCTTTCTTTCTTTCTTTCTTTCTTTCTTTCCTCTTCAATGTATAACACTTTGAAAGTAAAGTTCGTTTGTTTTCTTTTTGTTTCTCTCTCACTCTCTTTTCTCCATAATTTTACACATTGAGGGTTCGTTCATCCTCTCTATCTCTCTTTCTATGAATCTCTCTTTCTTTCTCTGTCTCCTCTATATTATGGGACATTTTAAAAACAAAGTTCGTTCGCTGTTTGTCTTATCTCTCTCCATTTGTCTTTCAAATCTAATTCATAACATTTTGCAAGTAAAGTTTGATCTTTTCTCTCGCGCGTGCTCTCTCTCGCGCATGCTCTCTCTCTCTCTCTCTCTTTTCTCTCTCTCTTCCTGTATGTCTCTCCACGTGTCTTTCATCTGCAATTAATAACATATTTAAAGTAAGGTTCTCTATCTCTCTCTCTCTCTCTCTCTCTCTCTCTCTCTCTCTCTCTCTCTCTCTCTCTCTCTCTCTTTCTCTCTCTCTCTTTCTCTGCATTGATCTATTGTTATATTTTTGGCTAGGAGCAGCCCTTTTTGTGATTAGGAAATATTTATTAGTGCACAGAAAAAATCATTTTGTATCAGCGCGCGCCTAATTGGATTGTTATCAATCTACTTTTACCATGTCGACCCATCTAATACTAATTCACTGAAAATTTCAAGGGAACTAAATTAGACCAGATTTGTAGTTGATCATATCACACATGGAGTGCCAATTCATTCTGTAAAAATATTAGCCTTATTCCAAATGACTAGGAAGCTGCCATATCGTAACGTTGAGACCCTTGCTTGGAATTTCGAGCATTTTTGGTTCAAATCCACATCGAGTCCCGTTTGTTACAAAATTGTCTTTAGCTTCAAGATAACCTCAGCCGAAAATAAAAAGTAAAAAAGTTAGTAGCGTATCCTTTACAGGACGTTGCAGAACCAACCCCAGTATTTTTGGCTGTTGTGATTTTTCTAGACAAATTTACGTCCAGTAGTTTGCCATTGCTTACTTGACGATCGGCGGAAACAAAGCAAGGCGCAGGTCCCGCAGCTGCGGTTCGGACCCGGCAAACCCGGCATTACGAAGCGCGTTCGCAACACCTAAGCCACAAAAGCGGACAGCCTAAACTACGTACCCGATAATGTCCGGAGAAGTAATTCGACCGGCTTGATGTTCACCTTATCCATTGAGTTTTGTTTGGTAAATGAAATATATGAATCTAGCATCGATTACCTGGAGTAAAAAGAGTCATTTACTAACTTACACTACTTCTCATAAAATGAATCAGGGCTTATTTTTTTATTGAGGGCATCAATTCTAATAGTTCTTATGACTACTTATTTCCCAGTCTCTCATTATGTGTCAATCCATATCCATTAACTCTGTTGTTGTTTACTTCACAGGCTTCACAAGCCATTCTCATCATTAACGTCATCGACGTAGGAAACACACCGCCAAGGATCTCTGTCAACCCGGTACCAAACCCCGAAGGAAACATTCTGTTTCTTACAGAGGCGTCGCCCCTGGAGACGGTGGTGGCCCATGTCAGGACAGACGACAGGGACACAGGTCTCAACGGGGTGGTGGACTGCTCAAGCCGGTCACCCAAATTCAAAGTCCGCAGGTTTGAGGGTAGTGGGTTTTTGGTGGAAATCTCTAAACCCTTAGATCGAGAGACTGAAGAAGAGTTAAACGTTACTATTGTCTGCGAAGACAGAGGCGTTCCCAAACTCTCCGCTCTGGGCTGGTTTGTTATAAAACTGACTGACGCAAATGACAATGACCCGGTGTTTACCAAAACAATATACCGAGCTAATTTAACAGAGAATAACAGGAAAGGGGAACGAATTCTATACGTGAAAGCTTTTGACAAGGATATAGGAGACAACGCAAATATACGTTATTCGTTTTCTGTTGATGGAGAGGAGCCTTCGTTTATCATAGATCCGGTGACAGGTGAGATTACTGCCGGCCAAGAATATGACAGAGAGACTGTGTCTCAGGTGTCTTTTGTTGTCATGGCTGAAGATGGTGGCCGGAGACAAGGGAAAACCTCAGTTATTGTTGATATTATCGATCAAAATGATAACACTCCGTACTTTACATCATCTTTAGAGTTTCAGGTAGCGGAGAATCTTCCTGCTGGTTCTAGAGTGGACACTCTTGAAGCTAAAGATAGGGATGATGGTCAGAACGCAGAGGTGGTTTTTTATATGCCCGATGACAGCTTCAGAATGAGTACCAGCATTCCTTTTGTTGTTTTACCGAATGGAGTCATAAAAACCGACAGTATCCTAGATAAGGATAAGCAGTCTTTGTATACGTTTCCAGTTGTTGTCAAAGACCGAGGAAAGCCACCAAGATCCTCATCTGCTACAGCCACTGTTCATGTCATTGATTCCAATGATCATAAGCCAGTTTTTATTTTTCCGACTAAACATAACAACACCGTAAGGTTCCGTTCAGATACTTCTCCTGGTTCCCTTATTACTAGACTTATAGCTACCGATGAAGACGTTGGGAGAAACGCTCGACTCAAGTACAGTATCGTCTCTGGAAACCACGAGAAAGTTTTCACGATGCCTGATCCAAATTCTGGGGAGATAAGACTTTCGAATGATAGTGAACTGTTGTACGGCGTTCAGACAAATATGTTCCGGCTCAACGTGTCAGTCAGAGACCAGGGGATTCCTGTTTTGGAAACCACCGCTATGCTGCACATCCAGATCGACTACGTTGACGGGTATGGTCTCCGAAGATCCAGACCAGAAGATGACAACCCGGCATCAGCGCTCGACGAAGACGATGTTAAGTACATTATCATAGCCGGCGTTATCGGTGGAATAACAGTTATTATATCCATTATAATTGTAACAATAATCCTGCTCATGCGCAAACCTGACAACAACCGCACTTCCGGTGTAGCTGGTGTTCAAGAGCAGGGCGACGGGCGCCATTTTGAAAAACATTTGTGGCACAGCGTGCCGGTAGATGATGTAGTTCCGGCGGAAGTCTGCGATAAGAAAATTGGACATGATTCTCTCAAGGGCGGCGGCGGAGGATGTGGTGTCAGTGGTGGATGTACTCTGGATCCCAAGCCCAATAATGGAGGACTCATATCAAACTCTAATCATGATCTTATCGACCCCTACAACAGAAAACACATTTCGGAACCGCTTACGGGACAGCAACAGTTATACACTTTCAAAAAGGTAAGACCGTCACTGTGTTGTGGTTCTCAACTCTTCACACAAACAAGTCTGTGTAAATGTAATTGTCACTGTCGGTTAAGTCAGTCTTTGTGAAGCAGCCACGTGTGTGTATGTTTGTTTTAGCTGACTTATATAATTTTCGGATCTACTTCTGACTCATCAAATTGTTTCCCGAACCAACTCTGCACCAACTTTTACTTTATATTCTTCTGTTCCACTTTATATTTTTAACTCTTTGGATCCAAACATTTGTTAGTTAACGTAACACACACACACGCATACACACACATACACACACACATACACACACACATACACACAAACTAAGAGTAGCGTTTATTTGAACCCCCTTAAAGTGGCTTTGTTACAAAAGCATGAAAGATACATCATTAGGTCTTACCATGGGTTGGTCAGAAAAAAAAGTCATTTTCTGACATTAGGGCAAGCATTCTATTGCTTAAGTAGGCGACGAATGCCGTCTGCAAAAAAGGATTGTGGTTGCTCACCGAACCAAGTGTTCACTGCCTTTATTACATTCGCTTTGAGCTGACCTACCATCTACTTGAACTGAGTTAATGCGTTTCTTCTCTGCTGTTAACCGTCCGCTATGTTCTTGGGAAAAATAAATCACTGACATATTTTAATAAGGAATGTTTTAATACTTAATGTAGTCAGTCGCAAAGGAGACCGCCATAGTTTAGTGGCTAGATGCTCGTCTTCTGACCTAACGGTCTTAGGTTCGAATCCACGCCAGCTGCAATTTTTTTGAACGTTTGGAAGGTCTAGAGAAGCCGCAGTAACCTAGTTCTCATCAAGCTTTTAAGAATATTTAAGATGAAGAATAAAGGTGTTAGGACCTCAATGGGCAATGATCAGCATTTCGCTCGCCACTTTTACTTCCCAGGACTTTAATTGGTACCAATTTAAGGCTGGGTAGACCTGTGACCAACAGCAAGTTTGAAAAAGAAAAACCAAATCTGTTACAAAGCAGATAATGAACCGACGACCGGGTCCACATGCCAGCGTTAACCTTAACAAAATGGCGGCTCATCACTGACTTCACTGCAGCTGGTTTTATCCGACATAGATCCGTCTCTCTCTCTCTCTCTCTCTCTCACTCTCTCTCTCCTCTACATGCTTGTCTAGCTATGGCAAAACGCCTTGTATAATGTATGTATGTAAGTTATACCCCATCAGGACATCACACAAGCGATAAACGCCCGCTGACACAAAGTGCCACCATGGGGATAAGGATCACCCGTGGAGAGGTGCTAGAAACTACTTTCAGCCGTTAAGCCATATCTATGGCTAGGCCTAATCCATGCCCCAGCTATATTTAGGGCCCCAGGCAGAAGCTAGGGTGGGGCTTCAAATAACAACAAATTGTATTCCACATGGGGACGATTAAAATTGTATAATATTCCTATTACAAATACCATGTTCATGTCATCGGAATAAAAGCGTGGTTTAGAAAAGGGAAATATTATAGCGATGGAACGTGTTTAATATTCAACCTCTCGACAAATCATTGAAAAATGTTGCTTATTTGTTTACACTAACAAGCTAGCAGGAGAAGATAACCGTAATTCAGCCCGGAATAAATCGCGGGTGATCTTTCCACAACTTTACTTTTTTTTGGCCAGCATTTGGTTCAGAGCTAGTCCTGATTTGAAAATACGGAAAACGAAGAATCGATATGCTGTGTCCACTGCGTTACATTGGCAATTTTCTGGATTCTGCAGTCGTGCAGTTTATGTTCTTATGGTATGCAAATTTAACTGCACCTGCTAGATAGATGCGAGTGGGAGATACAGACAGACAGAGAAAGAGGGAGATTGGGGTGTGTAGATAGACTGTAAAATGTTGAGGTAGAAAGATGGTGCGATGGATTGATAGACAGCAAGAAAGGTACGGAGAATAAATTATCTTAGAAAAAAAAATAAAAGATACACACCGACAGAAAGACGAGGATATGATTGCAGAGATAAATACATCTATAGGGAGAAAGAGAACAAACAGAGACAGAAATGAATCGACACGAACGGCGGGAGACTGGAATGAGAGAGAGAGAGAGAGAGAGAGAGAGAGAGAGTGAGAGAGAGAGAGAGAGAGAGAGAGAGAGAGAGAGAGAGAGAGAGAGAGAGAGAGAGAGAGAAAACCAAAGAGAAACTTGACCTGTTTAAAGTTATGTGCCGTCATTAAAATGCATTATAAATGGCAATCCAATCAAAAACGACGTACGAAAAGGGTATGTAATTTAGATTATAAATCAACAGTAAAAAGAGATAAGCGAAAGGAGCATGTAATGGTTCCGGAACTTTCCCTCTATTTCCCTTTACACGATGATATTATGAGTAGACATGTTGAGGAACTCAGAGGCATCGTCAGATAAGGATGTAATATCAGCAGTATAACACATGCGAAGGTCACAGTATTGGTACAGTAACTAACTTCAGAGCTGAGGCAACTGCCCTCCTTTCTGCAGTCCCAACATCTCATCACTCAAGAACACAGAGGGCACCAAATTTGTATACTTACTGACTCATTGTCTGTTCTCCAAGCTCTATTAAGCAAAAAACAAGACAAACTAATTGCAGATCTAAAGACCAACATTGGCTTACTCTCCAGGGAAGCAGAAATGGTCTTGCAGTGGATACCAGCCCACTGTGGTATTCAAGGAAATGCGAGAGCAGATGAGTTGGCAAAAGCTGGGAGTAATCTTCCACAACCTCATCCACCACACAGCTACAAGGAAACCAAAACAACGCTAAAGCAGTCTTTCAAGCATGAGTGGAGAAGGCAGAATGGAGATTACAGACCAGAGAGTGACAGCATAAACAAAATCAACATCAATTTTTAGACTTCGGACTAGACACTGCGATCTTCGAGCATACCTGTACAGGATAGGCATAAAAGAATCTGCTGCCTGTGATTACGGAGCAGAAAGACAGACCCCTGAGCACATACTGATTCCATGATAAATACCGTAAATCTGGGAGAAATGTGGCTTTTCTGTCTACCCCAGGGCGTGAACCCGGACCACAAGAAGTTCGTCACCCGGCCACCGAGCAGTCCGGTTTAGCCATCTACACTAGAGAGCCGATCATAAAATACATCTAAAAGTTAGTTGCCGTGTCCCTTACAAGACGTTGCAAAACCAATTCCAGCATATCTTGGCTGTTATAGTTTTTCTAGGCAAATTTTACGTTGAGTACTTTGTCATTACTATAAGGACAGTCAGCTCTCCGTGCCACTGTCGAAACCAACACAAAACGGTCTACTGCCAAGTCGCCTGCAGCCTGGATTGAACCCGGCATCTCGGCACTACAAAGTGCGTTCGCAACGCCTCAGCCGCAGACACCGATAAAACACTGATACTATTTTGATAGGCTTAACAGCACTTGATTGTTTACTTGGTTAAACATGAAGCCAGCCGCCTTTACTTCCCAAAAACCGTAGTGAAATGTTAAAACAAATATGGATGTAAGCACTTGATATTGTGTCCCGGCAGACAAACTTCAAGGATACCATAAGTAAAGGTCCCTTTACCACACCTTTAAGTGTATTGGGTATATCGGGCTAGACCTATGTATTAAAGGTTGTTGCGTATCCTTTACAGGACGTTGCAGAACCAACCCTAACAGCCCCTGGCTGTTGTGTGGTTTCTCTAGGCAAATTACGTCCAGTAGTTTGCCATTGCTCGCTGGACGGTCGGCTTTATTGATACCACTGTCGAAACCAACGCAAGGCGCATTGCCCGCAGCTGGGATCGAACCCGGCATCCCGGCATTACGAAGCGAAGTGTTCGCATCGACTTAGCCACAGAGCCGACATAGACCTATGTATATAAAGCCCAATCAGCACAAGATGGATAATGTGGTCAGCATCACGACGGTCGCCTTTACTTCCCGGGACTGCACCCGGTACCCACTCAACGCTGGGTCGACCTGTGAGTCAAAGTCATTTTCCCAAAAAAAAAAAAAAGTCCAGCTCCGTCAGGGAGCGAACCCACGACATTCCGATCAGCACATGAGCGTCTATCCGCTACGCCACGGCGACTCCCCTTGAATACTGTACTCGAACTCAAACCACACTGTCATATGCAGACGGCATTGAAACAACACCCGACAACAACTGACCCACGCTTACAATTCGTTATTAAATTATTTCCACGAAGCACTGCCATTTCAGTGCAAACTGTAAAGTGTCTCCCTCGGAAAGCCCCATCAGTAACTTTTCAGTAAACTCGACTCGCGGAGCTCACGCTTCAAATTCCAGCACGTTATGTTTGCTCACGGAATGAACACTTAATGGATATCCCTCCGCACGAAATAGTCCCCAAGACGAAGAAATCTAGAAGGTCAGCCTCGGCAATTTCTGATGCTTGGTATTGGAAAAATGATTAACAGTATCTGTGTGATTTCATAAAGTCCGCCGTTAAACGGGGTATGGTGTGTTTGTGTGTTCAAGGGAAATGATCAGATCGTTAAACAAACGAAAGAAACGGCAGATAGTTTGTGGAAACAATAATGGGGTGATAATAATTTGAAGACTGATTCACTAACGACTGGAATTTGTCGTAGGTGATTTTATCCCCGAATGGATTCTGGGTTCCAGGACCCTATGTGAGAAGAGGTGGTGGTGGGGGGGGGGTGGGGGGGGGGGGGATAGATTAAAGGCCTCTCGACAAGCATGTCGTTAAAGGACATTAATTACGGGTTTGTTTTAAAGTTGGAGTGTGTCTGCTGAGAGGTGAGAAACAAACAGTGTACATACAAAAAAGCCAGATGTAGAAGAAGGAAATGAACACTAAACAAGCGCTTGAACAAGACAAAAAATTTAGAAATGGACAAAAAAGAACTTTTAGCTGGAGTTTATTGCCGGTGAATGCTCAGAAGATGAATGGGAGAGAGAGATTTGATACAGCCTTAAAGTATTGCCCATTTTTACAACCTTTTTTATTTCACAAAGTCAGTCCATCTTGCTGTTCGGAAGAGCGTGACATTTGACGTTACCACATCTAGCATGAGAATAGAGGTTGAGGCGGTAACTGCCTCGTTCTGACGGGTGGAGAAAATCTCAGCAACACATTT